TTTGAATGAAAAAATTTTCTTACATTTATTTTGTTTGTTGACTACTCGAATTTAGAATAGTGCAACTTTCCGAATTTTCCGGTGCGGTTGGTTTTACGTACTTAGTATCGTGGAAATTGGTTGCACTAATAAGAAATGATTATAATTAACTTAATGATTAAAAAATGGCAATTATTAATTTAAAAAAGAGATTAATAAAACAAATAAGGAACAATATATAATGAAAAAAGTATGAAAAAAAGAAAAATAAATAAGAAATAAGAAAAACAAAAAAAATCAAGGAACAAGGAGCAAAAAGCTAAGACTTTGTTTTTATTCTTTTAATTTATTATTTATTCTTTATTTTCTTTTTTATTCTTCACTTCTATTTTTATTTTTTTCATTTTTGTCTTCTGTTCTTTATTTTTTGTCTTTCATTCTCCATTTATTATTTTTTAACATTTTTTAATCTTCATTTCTTATTTCATATTCTGCATTCATTTTTTATTCTTCGTTCTTTATTTTGCCTTTCATTTTTATCACTCTCTTTTTTATTTTTAATTCTCAACGAAAAAAGGAATAAAGAATAAAAAAGAAATAAAAATAAGAGATAAAAATAAGTATAAAATATTAAGACCAGATAACAAAGAAAGCAACAAATAAAGAATAAAAAATAAGGAAAAGGGATAGAAAATAAAAAATAAAATACCATACCACTCGAGCCGGACCCCATTTATTCTCGTGAACATGCAGGACGTTGAAAATTTTACTTTAAATTACAGTAGCTGAAATTCTCAACAGAAACATTCAATTAGCTCAAACTTGAGTAATTAAACCAATGAGCTAATCATCAACAACAGAAAAAAGATCTGCATGGCACAATGTTTTAATATGAATATGGATATCTTTAGTAATTTGTTGATTAACAAAGAAAATTATCCGAGAGCTTCATTTGTTTCCGCAACATATTTCTAAAAACATATTTCAATTTCCAATTTAATCTTTCATTAATTATTCGATTTTTTGTCTTCCAATTTTTTCATCGACCTATACTTTTAATTTCTTGTTTTTAATATATTTATTACTTAAACCACTAATCTTTTAGCTCACTTTCTTCTTCCCAAACAATGAAAAACCTTCCATTTTGCTTATTTTAATCCTTTATTTTAATAAATTTTAATGAAATCTTTTCAGAGATTAAGTTCGATTAGATAATGATTTATTCTCGCACATTTTACTTCCGAAGTAATACCATAATATATTCATTTTTTACACTGTAATATACTCATTTTTACACTTTTACAGGAATATATTCATAATAAGCTTAGAATTTAAAGCAATATTAAAGACTATTATTGTAACTTTTATGTCTTCTCACTTATTATCACTTTCTTTCTAATAGCAATGTCCTTAAAATTGGTAGAGGAAAAGACGAGCAATTCATTTGAGAAACTATCGGAATAATTACTTTTGTAAATTCAACCCAAATTGTACCACTACGGAGAATATTTTGAAATATTTAGTTTATATTTGTGTCTTCTTTTTAAAGAAGGAAAACGAATATTGTTTGGCAAGTTTTCCAGAAAAAAGAGGGAGGGCGACAAAGTATTCTTATTTGATTGATCAAATAGATATTGTAGACGAATATTTTAGACATATTTTTATCAACAAATAAGGTAGAATTCTGAAATAAAAAATTTTTTCACCATTAATTATTTCATAGTTTTGAAATGAAACAAATAAATGTATCTTTCGAAATGTCGAAAAAGAGTAGTATTTGAAATTTCAGAAAATAGGTAAAGCAGATAGTGTTCTTAAAACTAATTTAGCATGCGGGAAAATTTGTTAAACCTTTCTTCCTCCGTGTCTTTCACTGATGCCACCAGCAATTATGCAAGCATGTGGTAACTCGAAGTTTAATACGACATTTATATACATATATAACACCAATTAAAAACATAATTGAAAGTTAAGGGAAGGGAGTGAGGCAATGAGTAATACAAATTTATGTTTTAATATGACTTAGGAAGCAATAGTGCAGTACCTATTTGAATAAAACAAAATTTTGCAAGTTTAGGAACAAATCAAACTGTGCGGAGGTTTGACTCTTCGGCAAGTAACGAATGTTGATAATGTTTTTGGAGAAGATTCCTATCCAATGCAATCAAAAAATAGAGCCAAAACAAAAGAGAGAATGGACTATCACCGATTATGTCGTTCCCGGCTCGCACAAACTGGTGCTGATTCGCCGTACTGGTCGAAGTGGTACTGAATTTGCACCTTTAGCGAACAAGGCCTGAAGAGAAAAATTTTGTATTATCACCCAAGATGGACTATATAACTTGCAGATATATAAGTGTGTTACAAAATTACATTCTTTGCTGTTTAGATGTTATCATCAAAAATCCGAAAATGAAGGATGCACACCGGATGTACGAATGGCAGAACACCACCACCGGGACAGGTAACTCGAGAACAGAATTGATTCAACTCTTCATCATTCTTCATAGCAAGCACGATGTGACGGGGAATCAGTCGTTGACGTTTATTGTCCCGACAAGCATTCCCGGATAATTCCAACATCTGTAGTACAACAACTGGACATAGTACAAGTGGCAATAGATTTAGAGAGTGGACAGAACCGATGCTGCTTAAATAACTTTCTAACAGCTAAGGGAAATGTGAAAAATGCAAATGACGACCTCGGCAGAAAGATACTCGATAACAGCGCTCAAATAAACAGCTGCGGACTGAGAGATCCGTCTCGCGTAGCGACCTTTCCTAAGCAATCGATGAAATTTGGTTACGGGAAATAACAGTCCAGCACGAGCTGACTTGCTTATTTTCTTGGCTTTTCCAGCGCCTCGCTTACCAGCTGGTGGTCGACCTCCTTTATTCTGCAATTCGAAGTTTTTTTTTTTTCAACTTATATTTTAGTCCAATTTCCAATTTATTTCCAATATCGAATGCAGATTGACATGCACATGCAAGCGCCACTAATTTGATGATATAATTTTAATGATGCGCAAATGTCCCATTCCTGAAGAAGCAGTATTTTTATTCTACGGTTTGCACATATTGTGTATTTGGGGATGCTAACAATACAAATATTTAGAAAATCTTCATAAATCTTTCTACCTTTCTTGTATTTGGTGAGGATGGTACACTCGATTTATCTTCTTTTTTTGCAAGTAAGCTATCCAATACCGCCATAAAAGTTTCTGTCTGAATAAAGCAATTCATGAAAATTTATTAAATTCATTATATAGTTATTGTTGTAAATGCATTGTTCTGTTAAATGCACAAAATAATTAATGATTAATAGAAAATGAAATATAAACATAAATATTCCAAATCAAAACAGTAAACTATGATGGATAAGAAGAAAAGTAAAATGACAAAAAAGGCATTTCACAATTAACCTTCTTATTTTCACAACATGGCGGATCAGATTCTATCTTTACTTAGACAAATATTCATTAATTCATTCCTAAAAATTGCTTTTAAATAGCCTACAGGCCTATAGAATGATTTAAATGAAATAAAACGATGAATGTAAAATTGAGTATTTTTACATCAAAATACATTCACAACAAAAATGATATCCTATAAATGTTGATGGAATTGTAACGTCAATTGTACAATTTAGGCACCACATTTCTAATTTCTACGCAAGAAAAAAACAGTACAAAATGACAGTGAGAGTGGAAGAGATAAAGTGGTGATAAATATTGGTGATGTTATGGAAAACGAGGAACGCCCAGGACAGGAAGCACCCACAGCAATCTCATTGACGCCACGATCGATTCACCATGGCTCAGCTCTCCACTTTTGCAGTAATGTTTGTATGTGTTTTTTGGTCGCTGGGTAAAAGAGAAAGAGAGAGAGGGAGAGAGAGAAGCATTTCGAGAATCGAGAAATATCGATGTACAAAAAATGAATTCATATAGTGCAGTGATGAAATTCCAGAAAGAACGGTAATCGCGCGGGTGCTCAATAGCACAAGCTGAATGACAGTGATCATTCACTGATTAGTAATTACTATGCAACAGTAATGATGAAATGAGTTGATCGTTCGGGAAAGGATATATGGAATGAATAATCAATCCGGTTTCTTTCCTTATCACATCTGATCTGTATCGCAAACGCAGGCAAATGACGCTGCCAAAGCACTCATCTACAATGTCCAGGCCTTCATTTAAACAGTGTTTTTAACAGCATTGAAGGAAGAATACAGATGAAAGTTGTTCTTTAAAACCTGCTGTGAAATTTAGCACATCTACGGTGTTCTTTTCTCGCTCTTTCTCCCCTTTCTCTCCAGAGATCACTTTATCACACATTAATATATAAATAAAACTTGAGAAAAAAATCCACGTTAAATTGATAAAGGCGCAATTAACAAAATGTTGTATTAGCTAAGGATTGATAAATTGCAAGAGAGAATTGCTGACTGTGTGTAAATTCATTGCTGCTATTACTAAACTAAATTCAGCGTTGTCACTAAACTATTATTTGGAAAAAGAACCTTAAAGTGAAGTTCGCGTGACTAAAAACTAACCGGCACGACATCTTAGATAGTAGAAGTTTCAATGAGAAAATATTCTCAGGCTGAGACGAAGAAAGTAAAGTAAAGTTGGAACTGATTTGAGGAATGAAAAAATCTGAGAAACAAAACATATGCAATCAATGCAAATTGTTTAAAATGACAGGAAATTGAGCAGAAATTGGATAAAATAATTTTTTTTTGGAATTTGAAAAAAATTAGTTAAGGCGAAACTGTTTATAAGAAACAACAGAATCGAAAATGGCTTACGAAAAAAAATGAATTAAAAGAAAACTTCTTAACGGTAATTTAAATGAAGTAGAAGAGATTAAATTTAGAAATAATTTACCCAACATAGAAAAGCATTAATTTTGAAACTTTTCTTAACATAAAAATGAGATAAAAATACCTGTCAATAATGATTGACAATTATGGCGATTTTGAAAACTGTTAAGAAAAAATTAGTAATTTTATGGGTTAAAAGAATGAAGTTACTAAACAACGTCGATGAAAATTCTTTATTTCAGTTTAAATATTGTCCATTTAGAACAAAAATTATGATACCAAAAAATAGTAAAAATAATAGGCCTTATCTCTATTCAGAGAAATTTCTTTTTTACACTAATTTTTTTATTTTTTCTATATTTTTTTCCACAGCATAGAAAGTTCGTTCTCGCGGAAAATGAAGGCCCAAAAAATTTTCAGGAGTATACCCTAAAACATAAAAGTTTCGGATAAAGCTATGATAAACTATCATAATTCGCCTGCCAATGAACAGTCTTCTTGCCGATTACGCCAATGAAAAATTTCCAGCCGTAATTGATCATTTTTGGCACCATTCAACGCTTGAAATTTTTTAATTTTTTCTTTTTTTATACTTGCGAGGCATTTGTTGAATTAATTTGAATAATTAGACGCCAATCTCCATAAATAATCATCGTCGTAATACAACGCAGTAGTAATTTCCTTCTAATGCACATTTCCTGACCAGGATATTGTATATCATGAAAGTAAGTGATTCCAAACATGTCACTCGGTTTCGGATTTCTCATTCATAGAATTGATTCCGGATATGGAGATCGCGCAGATGTCTTTTTTTATACGTGCGGTATAAGGCAAAAAGTTTTCTATTCACTTTATGCTGTATTTATCAGTGGATGTGAAATGGACATCATTATTTCTGATTTGTTCATTCATCATTTCATTCATTCATTCATTCACTGATGTTCAGACGACGGAGATTTATGTATTGTTTGAGTAGGATGATATCGATATCTTCCGTTGATAGCATTCTTGACATTTCTCGAATAAACTCTCTATCTCACTTACCGATTCCATAATCTTAAGATGAAGTTCTCCTACACCACAGTGATATAACATGTCAAGGAGGGAAGGGAGAGAGAGCGGGAGAAAGATTTCAAATAGATGAGGAAGGAAAGATGAATGATACTTCTCTTCTTTCTTCCTTACCCTTTTTCCTTATTTGAATTGAATTGAGTTGAATTGAACAGTTCTTCTCTATCTTTCAAATCGCTGTCTCCATTATGATCGATGTTTCAGCTGAAGAAGTGCGAAATTGCAAAAAGGGCACGAGAAAGAGATGAGAAAGTTTCCCGGGAGCTCCATATTGTCCTACTTATCCATCAGTTCTGTTCACAGTTTCACTATTTGCACTCGCATCACATTCCTTAGCCCTTCTCTTCCATTAAAATATTCTTTATTTTCGTTTCATTGATTCAAAAACAACTACCACAATCCTGTAAGTTATTGTTAAAACATACATAACATTGTATGCATTTGGTAGATAATATTGTCCAAAAATTAACACCACTCTGATAATGGTAACGAGAAGTATAAAATTTGTAATTATGCTTTTCAATTTAATGATAGCTAGGTTGAGGAAAAATTTCAGATGCAAAGGATTACTAGCGATAATAATCGAGAGACGGCATGAGTAGAATTTGCAAGTGAATGATCGTTTTTATCGATAAGCCTTAAAGCACGTCTGATAAGGCATCGTTTCAAACCAAAAATTCCATCATAATTTCCTGATAATTTTCAATTATCTTAACAATAATTCTGTCACATTATTTGCAGTGGATAGTTCGATAAAAGAGCTGTTGAAGATATGCAACAAAAGGATCGACATCTGATCGAATCATCTTTGATCGCCTTACCCGGTTAATAGTTAATATATTTTACAGCGCAAAAAATTAAATTGAAAATTTTAATTTAAAAGGAAAAAAAATCAAGTTGTACATTATGTTTTCAATCAGTACCTCTTCTATATCGAATGTTTTGTAGGATGTCGCGATCGTTCAGGATCACCACTATTATTTATAAATTTTATGGATGGTAACAATAAACAGCTTGGTACTGCTTTTGCATTTTTATACAGCTCCCATCATTACCATTTCGTTATCTAAAAAATATCCTTTGTAGCAACATTTCTTTTACATTAGTTATGAATAATTTTCCAATAATTTACAAATGAAAAATTACTACCTGTCCATTTCTCTATTACAGGTAAGTTGACTTTTCCATATACTGTTCCCGTCATTAGTTCTTTCATTTGTTTTTTTTACTAGACCTAAATTTAAAATGATGGATTTTGTTTAATTCATAAAACTACTTTCATAACTTTTCGATCATTATTTGCAAGTAAAGTAACTTATTTCCAATATTAGTTTACTATTGCTAACTCATACGCTATCCTTAATTATTATTAAATTAACTCGGATGTGCTATGAAATTTAGGCTTGGAAACAGTCAATGCTCCGAGTTATGAAGAATTTGTATCAGTCACTAATTATCTATCCCAAATACCTAATGAGAATATTCGCAAATTGGGATTTACAATAGTGATTGATGGACGGAAAGCAACTGTAAAGCATGTACGCGGTGCATTACGAGCGTGTCAGGTTTGTCAGTTCTTCATTTTTCTTAGCGTTATAATAAAACTGAATTAAATTTAAACTTAGATTTTATTTGTAGTACATCTTTACGTGAAAGTAAAATCATTGTAGCAATCATTGTATCGTCGAATTCGATCTGTACTTGTCATTCAGCCGGAGAAATTCTTGGACCAACAAAAGCTTAATTTTGAGCTCATCAAAGAAGCTTATCAATTTAAGGTAGGAGTTAGCTTCAAAGTTGATGAGTTACCACCAAAATCATTATTTCAAGTAAGATTCACTTAATTACTATGAAATCAGAAAACTTCTTATTAAGTTAAGTGAAAATATTAAAGGAGAGATGAAAATTATCACTTTGAAACGTAATTTAAAACAATCTTTGCTGGGAAATGAAAGAGGAAAAGAGGAGAGCAAAGAGAATGTTGTTTTAATTCATTCCAGTGTACTCTAATCTCGCCACATAAATTATCACGCTTCATAGATGTCGCACAATTGCCAGATGCGCTCGGTGGCATTTTGCAATATGATCCATATTTATGGACTGTACTTAGACAGGTTTTTCTTTTCTTTATCAACGGTTCCATTAAATAATGCAATCTTTTCTTACTTGCGATATCTCTCTTTTCTCACACGAAATATGTTCAAGAAATTTGAGAATTATGTGAAGAAAGCGAAAAATTGGATAGAAAATAACAAAAGGCATAATGATATGACATCAAATCAGACTAATGAGAAGGCTTTCGAAGAGGATAATTTCAATTTAAATGAGCTTCTCAAAGCAGGTAAAAATTTCCTCTGAAATATTTTTTTTAAAGAGTTTCTTTTTTTTTCTGCGATAGTAATCTGAATAGCTTTTAGTTTAGGCCTAATTGAATGCTGGAAAAGAAACAAATTTATCATAAGTATAAGTTACAATTGAGACTTAAAAAACTACACAATTACTCATTTAGGAAATGATTTACTTGATGAATTAACACAAAATAGCGGAGTAAGTGGAGCACTGAAAAATGCCGATTGGGAAAATGCTGCGCAGTGTGTCGATTTGCTCATGAAGCAAATTAAGGTTCTTTTTTTTAATTTTCAAATAGGAGTGACTGTTGGGGTTTTTTTTTAGAAGATTGTTGATTAAAACAATTTCTCTCTATTTTTTTCCACTTTTCAATTAATAGTATTTCGAAATGTGACCTTTCTACTTATTTCCTATTTAATGCCAACTGCTTTCTTAGTCAATATTGAATAAACATTTGATAAAAATCAATATGGTTTGAGACTTTGAGTTCCATTTACCCCGATTAAGCCAGTGCTGTTGGAACGACTTTTTCCTATCAGCAAGGTCAAATTAGTAAGGTTAGTTCTTTTTCAGGATATCAGCGAGAAGCCAACAGGAATGGTACATCGGGAGGAGAGATATGCATCGTTGAAGTTGTTGGAAGATCATAATGAAGGAATGCATAATTTAGTGAATTGGATTCTGGGTGCTGGTGAGAGATGGCTTTTGACCTTGCATGAAATCGGTGAATCATATGACGATGCTAAGCAATTACTGAAAGAACATAACGAGTTGGAAAGCAAGTGGATAGTTCGTTTAGTGCTCTTTTTTCTAGAAGTGTTAAATTGAATAAACAAGAAAGTATTTTCTTTGCATTTGCACTCTTTTAGAAAATGATGTTAACAGCGTTACGGTTGATAAATATTTACTTTTATAGGTAAATGATAGAAATAAACAGAAATTATTGATTAATGGTTTAAACGATTTAAAAAAATTTTATTAGGATGTGGAAGAACAATCACGTGAACTGATAGCAATGGGACGTGAGCTACAAAATGAGTTTCCAAGATATGCCATGACATTACAGCAAAGCATTGATAAAATGCAAGAATTGGTTCGTGCATTCTGCACACGTTTCATACGTCAAAAAGAAGTCGTTTTGCGCTCAGTTAACTTCTATCGCATGCTGACTGATGTATGACTTTTATTCTGTGGAGTTTCCCTGATAGAATCTAACACGCTATTGAGTCTTATCAATAATGATGATAATATTTTGATTTGTTTTATTTCGACAATTAAGATTTGAGTTAGAGCATATTTGATAAATAAATAAGATACATTTGCATTGACGAAAAGCCTAAAGATGCGTATTAAATAAAATACTATAAAGAAAACAAAGGGATGAATAACAGCGAGATTTTTAGTTCTCACGAAAAACAAATTTGCTATTGGAATCATTATGTACAAATGTGAAAGCGAATGATATTGGAAGTGCTGAGAAAGAACGAAATGAAATGGAAGCTAAAGTAGATGAAATGGGTATTGCTTGTATTTTATTTCCAGTTTCATTATCAAAATCGGATACTCAAATATATCATTTCTCTTTCATAATATTGTTTTTTTTGTCAGCTCATAATGTGTGTTTACTTTAATTCTCGTTGTTTTGTGGTTCCGATTTAGTATTTATAATTTTTCTTTAAGAAAAAATCTACCTTTGTTTGATCACCAGTGGTATATCGTTTATTGATCAACTTCTCGATGAATCTAATTCAGTGGGCAAATCGATCACACGTGATTATTCAGCGGGTATTGTACAGATCAGGTTATATTATTTACATTTCATTTTTACTCCAACAACTTTTCAACATATATGTGGATAATAATAAGATAACTAATCAGATAAATTGCAGAGAAATATTGGAAGAATCACGTGGCCGAAAGCGGCGTTGTCAGAAATTAGCAGATGTTCGAAGATTGAAAATTCATCAACTTTTACAGCTCTATACATGTGAAGAAGATGGTCAACAGGTTAATTATTTTATGGTATTGAATTTTTCTCAATTAGATGCAAAGCAGCGAGAGAGGAAGATTATAAGACATTTCCTTATTTTGATTATTGTAACAATAGAAAATTGTTATTATATATTGGAATATTCTCTGAATTTTTTGAAATAGTCTATTTCAGGTAGTTCTTTGGATTGAAGAACTTTATGAAACATTGATAAACGGATGCGATAAGATACTATTTGACTTTGAAAAATTATATCTCATCCAAGAAAATAGATTGAAACTTGAAGAAACCGCACGAGTTAGCAACTTTTCTATTAACAAATAGTTAAATTGAGTAGTTTCATCAATCGGGAATCCACTTTAAATCATTACTGCTAAAGATTTGTTGGTTTAATTGCTAATAATGCTTATTTTAATTTCATTTGCTAATACTTTTTCTTAGTTTTTATCAAAGGATAAATTTTAATTTTCTTTTGGATAAATTTTAAATTTCTAGAAAATTGCGAATGTACTTTTCAGAGTACATATGGATATGGTAAACAGTTATGCCAAGTGATACTGGTATTGAGGAGATCGTTGAGAATGGACGTACAACCTGGATTGAAACTGAATCAAAGATTAGAGTCAATTTGGGGAAAATTTTGTCGTGTTTTGAATGAAAAAGAAATGAGACTTGGTGTCATTGGTGCTTTCTATTCAATGATTCAGAAAGTAATTCATTTTGTCACATTTAAAATTGAGAATTAGCAATATTTTGATGAAGCATTTCTCTTTTCAATATATTAAAATATTTTTCCAAGCGATATCTGATGATCGATAGGTAAATGAACGCCTTGATGAGTTATCGCTTCGACTGGATGGTAAAACTTTAGAACGGTGTTTGGAAGAAACACCATTTACTAATGAAAAGCGAAGTATCGCAAATGATATTCATGAACTGAAGCAGATGGCTGATATTCTAATTCAAGAGACAGGTAGCAAAATATCCAGGTGATATTTGGATCTTTCTTTTAGTTCTTCATGACAGTAACAGATGTAATAGACATAAACAGTCTTATGATTTTCAAAGATAGGTTAATTTAAAATCAGTTCAAGTGCTGCTTCAAAAATTTTTTTAATTCCGAATGCTCTATGAATTTTCTTCAAAACAGTAAGTTGATAATGCTTCGGTTAAAGTTAAGACTCTGATTCGGAAAAAAACAGATAGGAAATTTAAAAAGCTTATTAACTTAAAAAAAAGAATGTTTTAGAAGCAGAAATAGTGCAGAGACTTCCTGGATTCGAGCTCTAAACGAAATTCAACGAAAATTTAGTGAAGTGAAACGAAAACAAAACAAATTGGAGAGAATCTGCAAGGATAAAGAATGTCGCAGTAAAATTATCTGCGGGATTTAAAGCACAATTAATGGATGATACGTGCAGTGCAAATGTACAATGTAATTGTTGGAAAGCACATCAGCGAATCGCTGATATCTAACCATCAGAACAGACTGTGAAACTGTAATGATATATATTAATAGGGAACTGGAAATTAATTGAAACGATGTTATTTGAAATTTCAAGAATGGCTGTGATATAGCTTTAATAATGAGTGCTTTAATAAGTAATTGAATTAGTTGATAATTCTGTTGTATATTGAAAGTATAAAAAACTTCTTGCTATTCCGAAGTACATTATAACATATTGATATACACAATGAGATCATTGATTTCCTGTATTTGCTTGTTAATGCCATTTTTATCTAATCAATATAAATTTCAATTTTGTGACGAAAACTAAAAAATAACATAAATTTATGTTTAATATTGTTTTTCACTAAATCACTGTAGTTATCTACTCTGAAATTGCTTATTTCTGTGGAAATTGTTATGGTCATTTCAATTAATAATTATTTCAAATTAATTATTTGAGTTAGCGATGTAATCTGAACGAAAGAAATGTTTTTTGAAGTATTTGAAAGATTTTATTTAAACTGAATTTTGAACATTAATGATATTTTTGCAAGAGTAAGTGTTCTATAATATAATAGTTAACGAAATTGTACAAACTAAACGGAAGTGGTATTTTTAAGCCGCAATTTCATTGTTTCTTTACAGCATCATTCACTGCAATGAAACAATTACAAGCAATCAGACTTGAAATGTCTCACCTGAGCGCCTATTTTTGATTGGTTATCAATATTAGATGTGCACTGCGCCAGTATAATTAATTTGAGTCGCAACAGATATCTTAATTTTGCTTTGGATTATTGGAATGAATCAATTTCCTCATTTTATTTCTCTTTTTGAGTGATGTTGGTATTTAAATCAGTTGGAAATAGAAATTAAATTAGTAAACAAGCTAGACAATAAAAATGGAAAAAGTGTCAATAATATTATTTAATGGAAAAAGTGTTAATAGTAATAGTTAATGGGAAAAAGATTGCTAAAATCTTGGCTTTTAAAGTGTTAATAGTAATCAGCAATCATGGCTTTTAATTTGTTTATGAATAAGAAGGCCTGAACAGAATGTTAGGAACTTGTAAAGGACTTCTTATGTGGTATGGAAGTAAGCCTTGAGATTATAATCTCAAGTCATTTAATCATATGTTTCAATACTTCATTATAAATAATTCGGGCCAAAATTGAATGCTAGTGATTTTGTCTGGGCAATAATCACATACAGAAATATCATCTATCAACTTTCTAACAGAAATGGTTCACTGCCGGAAGCTATTTTTTCGTCTTCCTAAACAGATTTATCTGACTTTTGTCTTCGGATCTGAAACACGAGTTTTTTCTTACCTTAGTTTATCAGTTTATCATTATTGTTGAACCACAACAAATCTCTTAACTTTTTAATTTTTCACACTGACGGTAATCAATGCACACGGTTTAAATGACCTATTTTGATCCATTAAAAGCATTAATTTTATGGTTTTATTAGTTCTTTTGAAAGTTATCAAAATGAAACAATAATTTTGGTCTTGATTATCTTATTATATTATCTGTCAATCAGTCGCAAAATACATCGAACAGGAATAATGAAAACAAGTGAAGTAGTATAGAAAATTGTTTTGTACCAAAAAAAATCGAAAATTTGATTCTTATTTCTGATGAAAGATTATCTCAACAATAGTTACCATACAGTTGTTTGCATTATCATGGACAAAATTTCCTCGTGAAAAAAGCGATAATGAAATAATCGTTTTTGGATTTTTAGCTAAAACATAGCTCACTTTGCAAAAAAATTTCTTAAAAACTTTTAATAAGATGAAATTGTCTTCCAGCTACCATGTTCTGAACCTCAGTTATCTTCATTTTCAAAATATTGATTACTGAGTTGCATTTTAGTATGATTAAATATTTCAAATTATTATTCCGCTAGATCTACGCCATTATATTTATAATTTTGCAATTTGTTTAAGAACTAAAGTTAGATGTTGCTACATTCTATAACGATCATAATTAGCAGAAATTTGAGTTACAAGCACCTGCATTTTGTTATCCAAGGATAATTATTCCTTGTTGACATTATTCATTTATTAGTTTTTGTTTAAAAATTAATTTAAAATTCTAAATTCCCAGAATTCTTTATGAGATATAAGTAGTATTTCTTTAAAATTCAACCGTCTCTTATCATTGAGAAGATTAAGCGCTTTGCTTTAACTTCATCAATTATTGCATGTCTGTTTCCTCTCTCCTGCACAAAAAACTATTACTTTTTACAAAAAGAGAGCATAACGGTCCGAGAAATACCGGTCATATAAAGAATTTCCCTTTATTAGGAAGTAAACTCTTCCTTCATGTTATTACTTTTTTTTTGAACTTGAAGTTTTATTTCAGCTGGGAAAGCTCGTTCTATTTCTTATGTCAACTACATGCATTCAACATACAACTAGTTGGTGGTTTAAGCGGAAATGGCATTTTCAAATCTTTTTGGCAATAATGCTAAATCCTTTTCAAGCATTCACATCTGGTCCTAAATAAAGGCGGAATTAGGCTTCTTTTCCGTCTGGTCTTTCTTCTTCCAGCATTAACGAAGATAAGTTGAAATATTTCTCAGGATTTTATTTTGATTCTATATTTAAGAACGAAAGAACAAAAGCAAAAAGCATCTAAATTAACAGCGTCGTCACTTTCGGCAAAATACTACTTGCCTGAATTAAATTAAATCATATAATTTCCCGTTAATGACTAATGCTGTTAAACAATGCGTTGTGTTTTCAAATGATATAATATCATTAATTCATTATTATATACCATATGACGACATATGAAAATTTTTTGCTTTATATGCAAATGTGCATTGAAAATATGGTACAAATCATAAAAACATAACATAAACAAGTAAATTTTACCACAAATATTGCTGTACTATGTAAATAATACATGATCCATCCATTCAGTGCAAGGCTGATTTATGATTTCAACCTATCTTTGAAACCTATTTATTTATCGAGTTGAATCATGAAGAGTAACTTATTTCATGTTCTGTTGATTATAGAACATGATGAAACTCTTTGATTTTCTGTAATGTTATTTAAAATTCTAGTAAAAGTTTTAACCAAATTTCACATTTTTTCCAATTAAATAAAACTCATTCATGTAAGAGAAATGCAATTGAAGTATACCTTTACCAATTCTCCAATCATTTTATATTTTTTTTTCCAATTTTCTCGATATAATTTCCAATACTTCCAATTTTCCATTGATAGCTGTGACTGTATCAGCAATGAAAAACTGTTGAATTGATAATAAAAATTCAATATTCTGATTGGAAATAGCTGGTTGGATAGAATAAATAGAAAAAATAACGAAAATCAATTTCGAAACTTTATTGAGAACAAAATTTGCTAAAATATATTTCATGAAATTATCTAATGGAATTCTTGACGAATGATCGGTGAAGTATTTCTAAAGGGATTTCAACAAAATACATATAATACAGTCGCTGCTTTCAGCTCTTTTGCTTATGATTTTATTATTCATTTTTATTACTCTTACTTATTGAAATTTTTCAATGTATTAATCCCGAAACATATGTTTCGAGATTCAGGAAGTTTACAAGTTCATGGAGAAGGCCAACAATAAGAATCTAAAATTAGAGAACTTGTTCTAGTTCCTTTTATGCCAAATTGGGTTTTGACAATTTTTGCTTATATAAATTCTAAATGTGGAAATGTGCAACCCCCATGTTCCCAAAGGAATCTTATCGTCATTCCAACTATTTGTCGGAAAATGGATAGAACTTGAAACACTAATTTTTAATACATTTGCGCTCATGCTAAGCATGAAGCATTTTCTAATTTTCGTATCAGCTAGAAATTTTCAGTTAAATTTCTTACAAATGTAAAAACAATTATCAAATATTTTACAACGAATTTTAGAATCTCATTTCTTAAATTCTAATGTTTTTCTCATTCGAATTTCTTAAGATATTATAAAGAAAATATTTAATCCTTAGAGATGAGATAAGAAACAAAATTTCTCATTTAAAATTACAGATTCTGTAGTTGTATCGGTAAAAATGGCATTTACATAAGATATCAAAAGTTAATTGACCCATTTTCATCTAAAATATACAAGTTGAAATTATTATAAAATGGTATATTTTAATATTAGTTTCAATTAGATTATTTTTTCATTCTACTGCTATAACTAACTTTAATTTTAGATGACTTTTATTTTGATAGGACCAAAAAGGTGTATGACAGACTTGGCTGCAATCCATTACTAATTCTAATCATGCAAAGGACTTATGAGTTGCAGGATTATTGCTATTAGTTAATTTCATCTTTGAAAATCTAGTAGTTTGAAGAGTTATTGAATTTTATTGCTTCATTTCTTATTCTAACTCTATGCATTTGAAGTTAGAAAAAATCAGGTTTCATAGTTTTGCACAAAAAAATTAAGAAGCAATACGTGATGTTTGGTTGAATCAGACATGATGATAAAATGTTTAATTTTGGTTTAATTCATCCGACATATCAACATAAACAGCATCAAATTTCTTTTTACATATTTCTTATTTCTGAAATAGACAAAGACGGAAAAGTAAAAAATACTTCAGTGGCAACAATTTCAATTAATAATAAAATAGGTATATTTGTGATTTTCTAAATGATCAATGCATCATCATTTTATGTAATAATATTTAGCTAAAAAATGGATTTTGTGATTATTATTAATTGAAATTGTTAGGATTGATTTCATTGAAATAAAATTAATTATTCTTTAAAATTTTTGGAAGAGGAGGAAAGTATAATAGCATGCTAGAAAAAGAAAGAATTACTCAAAATGTAACATCAGAGAGGTGTAATTGATTAATTCTCATCTTTTCCACAATTCACTTTTATTATTCCTCAACCATTCCCTCTTTTCCTAAAGCTAACACATTCAAATATAGATTTAAAA